TCTGATTCTTCCATCTACTGTTTGTGCTAACACGGCTAATATTGCCTTGTTGTCTTGTATGTTGTGAGTTTTAAAAATGACACAACAAAAACCACTATGACCTTGTCATTTATTTTCCTTGGACCTTTATCCTGGGAATTCTTTGAGGCCTGGCTTAAAGTTGTTTTCCCACAAAGGATTTGCATTTCCTTCTGCTAACCCAGGAGCACTTTAAAGTAAATGTCTGGCTTTCAGAGTTTTCTATCTGTGCTGGTAGCTGGTAGCCGGCAAACCCGCAGGAGGGCCGTTTGTGGATTCAGTCTGACCTGAGGTGGAATCCTCACTCTGTCACTTACTGTGTGACCTCAGGCAAGTCATTTGATCTCTCTGCCTGTCCCATCATCTGTGAAATAGCTATGAACACCTAGCGCCTCAGGCTATTGTGAAGCTGAACCAGGATAATATATATAAATACAGTGCTCGCATGGGGTTCTTTCACACAATTGGTAGGGAGTGGATGGCATGGTCTTCCCCCGAGGAGCCCTCTCTTGCCCCAGCTCGAGGGGGTGGCCTGGGGGCAGACCCCAGCTCTGGTTCTGTGCCTCTCCTGTAGGATCTGAGTTTTATCGAGGGAGCTGAGTGATTGAGACCTTCTTCCTGTGGATTATTCTGCCTTCAGCTTTGAGATGACTGAGGCTCCCAAAGCCTCTGAGAGATGGTTCTGCCCACAGTCTTGACTTGTCTTGGAAGTCACTTGGGCCTAGGTAACAAGAAAAATGACACTTAACAGAACTGTTTTCTTCTTCAGATGCTGCAGGGGGATTTTTGGTTGGTTGGTTATGGTTTTAAAAAAAAAAATACGCTTTTTGTAACTGTATGCTAGAACATTAATAACAAGACATTGCAGTTTATCATTTTTAATCATGGGAGTATATGTTGACAGTATTTAAGTGTAATGTAAAGTATATTGGCATAAACAACTGTTAGGTCCTTTCCATAACAACGAATATAAAAACGAAATTTAATAACATGCACGCAACTGTGTTGAGAAAAATGGGGAAAAGGAAATACGTTTAGGTGTCCACAGTGGTTATTTCTGAATAGTGGAAGTCGAGTAATTTTTTTTCCCCAGCGGCAGCAAGGTACAGACGGCAGTGAGAAGGTGGCCTCAGCGATCAGAAAGCCTTGTGTTGGCCGCCTGGGTGACTCAGTCGGTTAAGTGTCCGACTCTTAATTTCAGCTCAGGTCCTGATCTCATGGTTGTGGGATAGAGCCCCACGTAAGGCTCCATGGAACCTGTGTGGGATTCTCTCTCCCTCTCTCTCTCTCTCTCTCTCTCCCTCTCCCCTCCCCCTCCCTATTTGTGTGCACACACACGTGTGCTCTCTCTCTCCAAAAAATTTAAAAAATAAATTTAAAAAAAACGAAAGTTTTGTGTTAAATCGGTATTTGTGTGGCCTCAGGCAGACGATAGGCTCTCTGGGTCTTTTCCCCCTCTGCTGGGTTTTGAGGATCAGATGAACAGTGGGACTAAAGGGCCTGCCCTGTGATCTGGCACAAACTGGCTCCATAAATGAGAGCAGTTTTTATTATCACACATCAACATTCTTTACAGATTTTTTAAAATTCCAAACATGTACTCCTTTATAATCAAAGGGTACAGTTACTGAAAACAACAATAGCAGGCACTGTATGTTCTGCTGACAAAAATAGTTTACATCCCCAGGTTGGGCGTGTGCGGTTTCCAGACTCTTCCCTGATGGTGGGAAACGGCCCTGGTGCTCAGGAGCCACTGCTGCGGAGGGTTGGGAGATTGCTGACGGGTGAGGGGTGGGCGAGAGGGCTGGCCGCAGCCTGGCTTTGGAGGTGCTCAGCCTGTCCCTTCTGTCCTGCCCAGGGCGCAACGAGCCCCTGAAGAAAGAGCGGCTGAAGTGGAAGAGTGACTACCCCATGACCGATGGGCAGCTGCGGAGCAAACGGGACGAGTTCTGGGACACAGCACCTGCCTTCGAGGGCCGCAAGGAGATCTGGGACGCCCTCAAGGCCGCCGCCTATGCAGCCGAGGCCAATGACCATGAGCTGGCTCAGGCCATCCTGGACGGAGCCAGCATCACCCTGCCTCATGGTGAGCGAGCAGGGCCGGGCTTTATCCCCGCTGGAGTGGGGGCCACCAGGCTGCTCAGGGTGGAGGAGAGCCGGTGGCCAGCCACACATCGGGAGTTTTTCTCCGAGCTTCTAGGTGGCCAGGGTGGCTATTTGCTTGTCCATTCAGGCAACCCTTACTGAGCATGGGTCCCTGTTTGTCTAATGAAGAGGTAGAAAGGCACCAACAAACCTCAAAGCAGTGTCATGGGAGCAAGATAGAGTTGCTCAGGTACTTCGGGATCTCAGAACATCTGAGGTACTAACCTTCTGTGTTGGGCATTATTATGTGCTCGGTACTGAGCAAGAAGCTTCTACTGTATTATCTCATTTAAGTTCCTAACAGTCTTATGGAGCCATGTAAAGTAGAGGGTACCAGTGGAACTCTAGAGTCACAGACGTGGGTTTTAACAAATGTCTTTGTTTCTAGTAGTGTGCTCCTGAGAAGGGAGCTTCTCAAATTTAAAGTCTCAGGAACTTATAACTATGAAGGGGGATACCCACCTAATAGGATGGTTGTTAGGACTCAGAAAGATACACGGAACATCCTTTAGTCCAGTCCCAGCACTCATTAGGTGCTCAAGGCACGGTAAATATATTACTACGTGCAATACATAGTCCAGGAAGGAAACTGGGGCCCACCAAGGTATAAGCCATGAAGAGCAGACCTGTGCTTTTTCATTCCCCCTTATAACCCCGGCACCCAGCACATACACGCAGGGGAGAGTTGTTGAATGAGAACATGGAAAGTGATGCAGCTTGCCAGAACTGAACAAGCTAGTACCTGGTAGAGCCCGAAGGCCAGCCCACATCTTCCCGAGTGTACCTTGAACTCCTCCCATCTGTATGTCCAAGGGACACTTGGCTGTAGGGGAGGGTTCAGGGACTGTGGGGTGGCCATGACAGGTGTACTAGTTTGCTCGGGCTGCTACAACAGAATACCACAGATTGGATAGCTTATTAAACAACAGAAATTCATGTCTCACCGTTCTGGAGGCCGGGAAGCCCAAGATCTAGGTGCCAGCTGATGTGAGTTTTGGTGAGGGCCTTCTTCTTGGCTTGTAGATGGCCATCTGCTTGCTATGTCCTCACGTGGTGGGGAGACAGCATGCCTGAGTGCCTCTTATAAAGCTACTAATCCTGTTGGATCAGTGCACCACTGTATGACTTCATTCAACCTTAATTACTCCCAGATAGGCTCCCATCCTCAAATACTGTAGCATTGGGGGTTAGGGCTTCGACATAGGAATTTTGGGGTTCCCCGGCAGACTCTGATTGCCCTGCTTTTCCCACAGGCACCCTCTGTGAATGCTACGACGAGCTGGGCAATCGCTACCAGCTGCCCATCTACTGCCTGTCGCCGCCTGTGAACCTGCTGCTGGAGCACACTGAGGAGGAGAGCCTGGAGCCCCCCGAGCCCACGCCCAGCGTGCGCCGCGAGTTCCCATTAAAGGTGCGCCTCTCCACAGGCAAGGACGTGAGGCTCAGCGCCAGCCTGCCCGACACAGTGGGGCAGCTCAAGAGGCAACTGCACACCCAGGAGGGCATCGAGCCGTCCTGGCAGCGGTGGTTCTTCTCTGGGAAGCTGCTCACAGACCGCACGCGACTCCAGGAAACCAAGATCCAGAAAGATTTTGTCATCCAGGTCATCATCAACCAGCCCCCACCACCCCAGGACTGATGAGCCCACGGACCCTGGGAGGAGAGGCCGAGGAGGCCTCCGCGGGGCTGAGAGGCCTCCCGGCTGGGCACCAGGTCCCCCCACCCTGCTGCTGCCTCCAAGTGCTGTTACTTTCCTCAAGGGCGCCTCCCGCCGGATGGCTGCTGGGCAAGCCGTGAAGGGACCCTGCCTCCCAGGGGCACCGTGGGCCACCAGCGCCCCACACCCAGGAAGCAGTGCTGCCTCACACAGGCTTTGCCAACCTTGTCAGAGGAAGGGCAAACTGGGGTGTTCCACCCTGCCTCTCTCCCGCAGCAGGTTCGAGCCACAAGGGCCAGCCCGGAGGCGCCTGGAGCCCAGATCCGTCGTCTGGTGCTGCCGGCTGTGCTCACTCCGGTTTTCCGCTCAGGGTCTGAAGCAGCTGCTGTCCCCTTCCCCTGCCCCCACTCCCTGACTCTGCCCTGGGCCCGGTGCCAATCCCCTGGAGGGGAGGGGATGGCTTGTGAGCCCCAGGGGCAGGGAGCCCGAGGCCGGCCTCTGCCTCTCCCTGCCCCCCCGGCACAATTGGCAGAGATGGGGCAGGCTGGCGGCCGGAAGGCTGTGCTGTCGTGGCGGGGGTCTGCACAGGGCCATCTCCTGGCTGTAACCCAAGCGGTGGGGGGTCTGCAGCCTGGTCGTGGCCCATAACAGGTCCCTGTGTACAGACATATCTGCATATTTATCAATAAAGCCTTTTGCTCCTTCCTTCCCTCTTGCCTAGCTTTGACTCCGGTTCTCTGGCAGCTCCGTGGAGCCCCGGAGCCAGTTCTGGTGTGGGAGCAGGTGGGTGTAAGGCCTCCCCGGCTGCTCTGTCCACAGCAGAGACTGCAGGAGCCTCGAATCACTAGTGTTCCAGGCCCTGTGTTCTCACGGGTCCTTGGGAAAAACCACTTCACTGCTGAGCCCACTCTGCTTATCTTTAAAGTAGAGACGATGCCGCCTGCCTCGCCTCTTCTTCAGTTGCTGGGAGGATTAAATGGGATAATGGATGTGAAAGTGCTTTGGAAGCAGAGGCAGCATCTCAGGAAGGCGGCGTTAGTAATCCGCGGGTCTGCTCCCGTGGCACACGGGAGGGTGCCAGCTGCCCGCCCCAGCCCCTCGGCCAGCCCCCCAGGACTGAGGTGTGTGCGAAAATCCTAGGGCTGCTGCACTGCGCCCTCGGCAATGGAAAAGAAAAATCTCTGACCAATTTAGGTTATGAGCATTTGTCAGCTTGCCAGCAAGGGAACCAGAGAGGAAAAGCAGCCAGTGCCTGTCCTTCCTTCAGGAAAAGTGTGCATCTAGTCGGAGGGGGACCTTTGATCAGGTGGCTTAGCTAAGGGCAGGACGCTTGAGCGTTACAGAACCTGTGGCGTCTGTGGCTCACTGGCAGGTTAATCCTGGGTCAGGACGACCCGGGGCTCACTCCCACAGTTCTAGGTATGGAGCTGAGCAAGTTCAGGTCTGCTTTTTCTCCACTGACAGTTTTCCTTCTCAGCGAGCATGGCTGGACCTCGGTCAGGGTGGCCTGACAAAACTGGGAGGAAATGGTGTCCTCGTCAACTGGGCTTGGCACTGTACTCTGGCCCTTTTCGGGTGGCTTCCTGAAACCCCTCTTGAAGCAAGACTTTTTCAGTTTTGCAGAGGCCTCCTGAGACAGACAGATGGGTCAAAGTTTGTCCGAAGCTAATGGACATGCAGCCACGTACAGTGATGTCTCGCTAGGGGGCGCTGTGGGGCCCCAAAGAGGCAAAGGCCTGCTTGAGCCGCAGGCGAAGGGGGAGGCATCTGCTCTCACTCCTGCCCATCGCCTTGACACTCCAGCCCAGACATAACAGAGTTTGCCTCACCCCAGGGCAAGCAGGGCCTGTTCATGACAGCTGGGGACCCAGGCCTGTATTGGGTCCACACCGTTGGCTTTCAGTTGCCCTCACTGGTACTGGCTGGGCAGTTTCCAGGCATCCAGCAGGTGGCACTGCCATCAAGGTTAGGGGCAAGCCAGCGGGTTCTTTGTGCCTCCCAGCTGTCCTGGCTAAGGCTCAGCTCTACCCAAGCACTTAGGACAGAGGCTGGGCAGGCTCCTTCCTGCAGCCCCGCTCTTGGGGTGCTGGGTCCTTCAGCTCTAATAGGCAAGGGGGTGGGGGGGGGGCAAACTGTCCCTGCCTCCCCCAGCTCCCTGGGGCTGCCCGGGGTGAAGGTGACAGGTGGGGGAGGCAGGTGGAGAATTGGGCCGGTGAGCTCATGGCAAAGGCGCCCAGGGGGGGGGGGGGGGGTACCCTGGCTTATAAAGCCCCTGAGGCCCTGTGGCTTGCAGAGGCTGGTTATAGACGGCACTATGGAGGGCTCTGAGGAGGGCTCTGAGGCGGTGAAGAGGGCCACAGCGCTTATCGAGGAGCGGCTGGCACAGGAGGAGGAGAATGAGGTACAGGCACAGGTGTGGGGACCCAAGGGGTTCTAAGGAGATCCAGCTCTACTGTCAAGGGCCACCACATCTGTAGTGGGAAGGAGGGCAGGTGTCCCCAGCGGCCCAATGGCTCCACTCCAGCCTCAGTGGGCTCCTGGTGGAGGAGGTTGCTAGCCGTGGGTGACTGAGGCTTCAACCCCAAGAACTGAGAGACCACAGGGTGGGTGAGCCACGCGGGGTTCCCGAGACCCTGCCACACACCTAGGCCTCGAGGAGGTGGTCCGGGCTGCACAGAGCGGGACAGCTGAGATGCTGTCTGGGAATGTGGGAGTGTGGGGCCCGGAGATCTCCCACAGCTGCTGGGTGGGAGGCTGGGATGGGAGAGACTCCAGCGTTTGGTCCCTACAGAATAGAGACTGGGAGCAGAGCGAGGAAGGGTGCTGGGAAAGGAAGCACGGGTTTTCCCAGGAGTACCAGCCCCACCTGGGGAGGCCTGTGGAGCATGTGGCTCTGGGCAATTCCATTTTCTCTGGGATAAAGAAGTTGGTGGGGGGGGGGGGCCGGGAGGAGGGTGCAGGCTTGTCTCCTCTTCATTCCATTTAAACTAATTCTCGACTTAAGAGTGCTCTGCCAAGTGCCAGGTGTTGGGAGGAATAAGAGAATCAGTGAGGCCAGCCCGTGCCTCCTTACTAAGCCCACATTCATTTTAGCCAACATCCATCAGGCGCACAGTCCACTAAGAAACAGGCAGTTAGGGCGCCTGAGTGGCTCATGTTGCTTAGGTGTCCGACTTGATCCCAGCTCGGGTCTTGATTTCAGGGGTGTGAGTTCAAGCCCCATGTTGAGCTCCACGCTGGGCAGGGAGCCTACTTAAAAAAAAAAGAAACAGGCAGAGTGTAGACACGGTGAAATAGGGGTGTTCAGTCAGAAGTGAAAGAGCACAAAAGGTGGGTGAGTCGTTCTGACCATGGGTGCTCAAGAACTCTTAGGGGCAGGATGGCATTTGAGTGGGGCCTTCAAGGCTCATGAGCAGAGATCAGGAGGGGAGGAAATTCAGGCTTAGGAAAAGACAGGCACTGAAGCTCAGGTGAGTGACAGTGGGACTGTCCTGAGAAAGTCTGGTAGTAGGAAGGGGTTAAGGCTGGGCACAAACCAGAGGGGGCCCTGGGAAAGATATTTATTCTTTGGGCAGTGGGGAGCCACTAAGTGTTGCTGAGGGAGGGCAAGGGGCACCATCTGACCTATTTTAGGAAGGCAGCTCTGACAGCCTGAGAAGGACATGTTGGAGGGGAAAGACTGGCCCTAACAGGAATGGGAGGGAGGAGATCAATCAGTTCAGAGGTAGGCTTGGTTCAAAACAGGAGCGACTGAAGGGGGGTGAGGAAGAGGGAAGGACCAGGACTCTGCTGGAAGAAGAGATGAGACGAGGGGCAAGGGTGGCAAGTTTGTGGGGGAAGGGCTTGGGCTAAACCCGCTGCCGAGTCCTGGCTGGGGCACCCCTGGATCTCCAGGAATGCCGCTTCTCCCCCGGCGCCAGGCAGGTGAGTCATGCCATTTCTGGAGGGCTGCCGCTGGACACAGAGACCTTCAGCAAGGGGACACGGAGCAGCCTTCGTCCATTCATTCACCCAACAAATATAGCAGCAGGCTGTCAGGACACTGGGCACCCACAGAGCCCGCCTTCCCACCAAGTGCCTCCTACGTGCCAGGCACCATGCTGAGCACTGTCCAGGCTTTCTTTCATTTGATCTGTAAAACCATCTATGAAGTAAGGTAGGAGTTTGTTCTGTTGTATTTCACCAACCAGCATCCAATTCAATAAACATTTACTGAGCACTTACTGTATGTCAGCCCACAAAGACATCTGAAGCAAGGGACTGTAGAGTCGGGGTAAGGCAAGGGTGAGCATGGGAGTCCGTTGTTGTTCCCGCCAGGCCCCAGCCCAGCAAGGTCCTCAAAGGGGAGCCTCTGTGCAGTCTGCACCCCTTTCTTGGCGTGGGAGGAGAAGGAGAGCCCGGAGGCTGCGGCTGGGGCTCTGTTGTGGGAAGCATATCGGGTCAGGTCATCACTGAGGACTTCGGGGTGGACAGAGTTGCTGAGCCCACCTGTCATCATCCACTTGCTTATTCATTCATTTATCCTCCAAACATTCACCGAGTACCTGCTATATGCTAGGCCCTGTCACAGGGACTAGGGTTACCAAGATGATTCAGACCCAAGCCCACCCTCTTGACGGTGGGACCCGGCCAGACCCCACCAGTAGTAGCCGCAGCCCGAGGTCATCCCTCGTTCCTGGAAGAAGATGCAGTGTTTCAGGGGAGGCCGGCGCCGGGACACCTCAAACTATGTAAAGCCAACGCGGAAAGGAGAAGCCAGGGGGCACCAGGACCTCCCCAATGAAGAGCTGGGAAATCAGCGCCCAAAACCGCTCTTGAGGAGTACAATACCGGAGCTCAGTGGCAAATGCAAAAGGCAGCTGAGAGCTCTGTGAGGGTGGCCATTCCTCCCCATCTGGACTCAGCATCCTCTAACCTAGGCGAATGTTCCCGGCACACAGGCCTTCAGAGATAGCGGTACAGCACTTCACAAAAAGTGGTTTCCTTGAAAACAGGAGGAGGCCACGAGGAAGTGGTCCAGGCAAGTCAAAGATACAAATGGTGAGGAGACTTGGCAGGAGTTTCACCCCTATAATTACAATGAGAATAAGGTTAATGCTAAGAGTCCCTTTAAAGTGAAAGCTAGTGAAAAGTGAAGGTGTAACTCCCATCCCTCAGACTCCCTGAGAACAGCAGGTTTCCAGCTCCAGGATATCATGAAGTGGTAAAATCTGAGGAAAAAAAAAAAAAAAGTTGGTATCTAACAGAGAGTTGCCAAAATTTTTTATTGGTATGTGAATCTATTTAAAAAATAACTATCAACTCTTACCACAATTATTTCATCAATGTGAAAAATTTAATTTTTTAATGTTTATTTTTAAGAGAGAGCGAGCGAGCGCCTGTGGGGGAGGGGCAGACGGAGCCGGGTACAGAGGATCCGAAGCGGGCTCTGTGCTGGCAGCAGAGAGCCCCAGGTGGGGCTTGAACTCAAGAACCATGAGATCACCACCTGAGCTAAAGTCAGACGCTCAATCAACTGAGCCACCCAGGCACCCCCACAGTGAATTTTTAATGCCAGCAAAGTAAAATCACCATCATCTCAGTGCTTTAAAAAGTGAATATATTTAATTTCATGAAAACTCATTCCAGTAACCCTTAAACTTGTTTTGCTGAGGACCCACAACCATCAGTAGACAGGTGTTTGAGCTGAGGTTGGGGTCAGGGTTGGGTTGGGGAATTATGGGGAGTCCTGCTCTGGCCTGCGGCTCTCCAGTCAGGAGTGGGGCACGGAAGGGATCTGGGGTCACACAGGAGGAGGTCCGTAGGGTGCCCTTGGAGTGGGTTGGGAGAGAGGCTCCCTGCCTCCCTGGCCTGCTGAGGGCAGGTCCTGGAGCATGTCCTTTCCTTGGCTCACCAGAAACTCCTAGGAAAGGCCCAGCAGAAGCTGCCCATGGACATGCTGGTGTTGGAGGATGAGAAGCACCACAGGGCTCCGAGTCTGGCCTTACAAAAGGCTAAGGTAAGTGTCAGGAGAACCCAACCTCTGTGCTTAGGGGACAGGACAGGCAGTTAGGGCTTTGCTGCTCCTAGTGTGGTATGAGAACCAGCATCTCAGCACCCCTGGGAGCGTGTTAGCAATGAAGAATCTTAGCCCCACCCCAGACCTGCTGAGTCAGAATCTGCATGTGTACAAGATCCCAGGGAATTTATTTTGGAAGCCCCAAGTTATTGAGTGGCCCTACCGCAGGCACCATGCAGGTGTTAAGGGGCTCAGGGAGACTGCGTGTGCGGATTGGAGAGATCTCCGTGCTCGTAAGAGAAAAACAGTCTCCCAAGCACTATTGTGGAGGATGATCCCATAGGATGCTTGTCTGAAGGACATCAACCAAGCCATACTAGAATTTACCTCTGGGAGAGAAGGGCTTTCTCTTCATACCTCTTATGTTTCTGTATTTCTTTTTAATATTAATCATGTATTACTTTTATCATAACACACACACACACACACACACACACACACACACAAATGAAACTGCATGGAAGGAAAGCTGAGGATTCATACTCCACTCAGAAGGCCTAGGCGAAGGATTGCCTCTGAGATTCTCTCATCCTACCCTTCACCTACGTGAAGCCTTGAAGCTGGTAGCTCTTACGCAGTCCCCTCAAGTCTCCCCTTGTCCCCTGATCTGAGCCATCTGTGTCCCTGTCTCATCTGCTTCTTCTAGTCCTGGATTCTTTCTCCCTTGAGAAGCTCTCCCTATCCTCCTCCCCCAGCTCAGCTCAGGGTCCCCAAGCCCCCGGCATGGGGGTTGATGAACCCCCCTCCATGCAGGGTCAAGAGCGTGTGCGCAAGACATCACTAGACCTTCGGCGGGAGATCATCGATGTGGGTGGGATCCAGAACCTCATCGAGCTGCGGAAAAAACGCAAGCAGAAAAAGCGGGAAGCACTGACTGGCCCCCAGGAGCCACCTCCAGAGCCTGAGGAGATCGTAAGGGTCCTGGGGCGGGGGAAACACCTGTGTTGTCAGGGGCGGGGTGGGGGTGGGCAGGGGGCCTCTGATCACTACAGAGCAGCCCTCCACGACTAGATTCATGCCTTCCAGACTGGACCTGTGGACCAGGAGACATTCCTGAAAGCGGCAGTGGAGGGGAAAATGAAGGTCATTGAGAAATTCCTGGCCGACGGGGGTTCCCCGGACACCTGTGATCAGGTGATAGTCCTACCTGCACCTGTGCCTGACTCCCTTTCAGAACTGCCACCCCCACCCCTCCCACTTGTGGACCTGTTTGAGAACAGGCATTGGGTGTCCTTTAGAAAGGGGTCTTTAGAAGATTTGGGATGTCCTCTTGCCCGTGCGGGAACTTATCTAAATCTTTAGGCCCTTTTCAAGTTGAACCACCTCCAAGGAAACAAATGTCAGGTGGTCCTTTAGGGAAGAAAGAGGAATAGAGTTAAATTTAAAAAGACAAAACGAAGAATTTGAGGCTCAGATCCCATCTGTACGGGACCTTAGCTATGAGACCATTGCTAGGTTCATTACCTCTCCATGCCTAAGTTTCCTTCCCTATAAAATGGCCTATTTCCCTCAGAGCATGTCATGGGGATCAAACAGATTAATGCCTTAATAAGTCATTATTGAATGAAGGAAAAAACTATAAAGCACATACTAGGAAATTATATTATTTTTGTGTTGCATTATATAATATGCTTCCCTTTAAAAGTTATTTTTATTTTATTGTGGAATACATATAGCATGAAATGGCCATTTTAATTTTTTTTAATGTTTATTTTTGAGAGAGAGAGAGACAGAGTGTGCATGGGGGAAGGGCAGAGAGAGAGAGAGGGAGACACAGAATCTGAAGTAGGCTACAGACTTGGAGCTGTCAGCACAGAACCCGACACAGGGCTCGAACTCACAAGATGTGAGATCATGACCTGAGCCGAAGTCAGACGCTTAACTGACTGAGTCACCCAAGCGCCCCCATTTTAGCCATTTTAAGTGCACAATTCAGAGGCATTAATTACATCCACCATGTTGTGCAATCATCACAACAATTTTCAAAACATTTCCATCATCCATCACACTTCGTTTTGTTTTCCCTGAAAACTGCCTCTTTCACACTTGGTACGGTGCTCTTTCACACTCATATCCCAGGATTAAGCAAATTTATGGTCACTCCCTTCAGCCTGTATCATTGTGGGCTTAGACTGCATGGCCTTTCCATTCTTTAGACTCTGGAATCTGAATCCTCTCGGTCTATCCAAGCACCTCCTGTCCCTGAGCACTGTACCAGGTGCTGGGGCGGGGGGAGGGGGGTGTGCAAAAAAGGGAAGACCAGGGTTGAGGGTAGAGGGAGACTGGTGTATAGCCAGATCTTTAGACTATGGAAAGATATGCCCCATGGCTTGAGTGTTTCAAAGATCAGAGCAAACTGCTGAAACTCGTTCCTTCTTTGGATCAGTCATTTGTGTGCACCTGCTCATTCTGACCCTGGGCTAGGCACTGAGGAGAAGCAGAGTCTAGTAAGGCTTGGCTTGCCTTTCAACACCCTCTCACCATGGAAGGTTCTCTGGGTCACCCAAGGCACAGCTCTGGCCCAGAGGTTTCAAGATGATGGCACTTGAGTTGCCTTGCCTCTTGAAGGAGTAGCAAGAATTCATCAAGCACTCACAGGAAGTGAGGGCAAAATAGGCATTCCTGGCAGAGGGAACAGCCTGTGCCAAGGCCCAGCGTGACATGCTTGGGAGAGGGCACATTGAGAAGGTCAGGGTTCCCAGGGCATTAGAGGGCTCCGCAGCTGGTCTAGATAGAACATGAAAGGCAGGACATGGCAGGACATGGAAGATAGGGGGACCGAGCCTAGGGGTCAGAATCGAACAGGGTTAAGTCCTGGGTCTTAGCTTGGGGCCAGAGATCAGGCCCTGACAGTCTCTCTGGGGACAGTTCCGCCGGACAGCATTGCATCGAGCTTCCCTGGAAGGCCACATGGAGATCCTGGAGAAGCTTCTGGAGAGTGGGGCTACTGTGGACTTCCAGGATCGGGTGAGCCATAGAGCAGGTATTGGGCGGGAGGTAGGAGGTAGGCCCAGCACCAACAGACCCCCTCTTCCCATAAATCTGTGCCAACCTGGAAGACACTCTTGCTTCCTCAGGGGCCAGGCCTCATCTCTAGCAGATTGTATGACCTGGGGCCACCCTTCGTTAATTTGGCATGGACCTGAGGGTTCTCCTGCTCTGCTTGGTCCATAGCCCAGGCATAGGCATGCCCCAGCCCCTTCCCTGCCCTCTTTCCCTCGATTCCTCCCACCCTCTTGGCTGGGGTCCTTTCTGCTAGGCTCCTTTCTTCCCTAAAGCCCCATCTTTCCCTTCTAGCTGGACTGCACGGCCATGCATTGGGCCTGCCGTGGGGGCCACTTGGAGGTGGTAAAACTCCTGCAAAGCCGAGGAGGAGACACCAACATAAGAGATAAGGTGGGGCAATAATGCTCACAGATATTAGGGTAGCTGGAGGGGGAGGGCAAGAAGCAGAGAACAGAAAAGCCCAGTAGGGCAGGAGGGTAGTGAGCTAGTCTGGTTTCTAGAGGGGCTGCAGAGCCCAGGGAGGGGTCCTTGCCATCAACTGTAGGTCCTTGGGGACCACCATCTGGGGGTGGGAGCAGAAGGGCAGGAGAGAAGAGAAGAAATCCACTATCGGGGGGCTTTGGGATCACTCAAAAGATGCAGGATGTGTTCATCCATGCAATTCTTTATCATCCTTTATTTATCTGTCCATCCATCCATTCATTTATTCATCTGTTCACCCACCATTTTTCTGTTTATTCATTCCTTTGTGTATATCCTTGAACAAGTGACAGATAGGTTCAAGACAGCCTCTGAGCCTATGTTATTATCTGTCAAATGTTTTACAGAATTATTATATAATTAGACGTGAAAGTGTATGTAAATTATTTATTCAGCATAAGGCTGATGTTTTGTAAGCTTCTGCCATGCCTAATACATGGTCATCCCTCAGTAAATGGCATCTAGTATAATTATTTATTTTTTTTAACAATTTGGAGCGTCTTTTTTTTTTTTTTTTTAAGTTTATTTATTTTGAGAGAGAGAGCCAGGAAGGGGCAGAGAGAGAGAGAGAGGGAGAGAGAGATTCCCAAGCAGACTCCACACCATCAGGACAGAGCCCAACGCAGGGCTCCATCCCACAAACCGTGAGATCATGACCTGAGCTGAAATCAAGAGTCAGATGCTCAACCCACTGAGCCACCCAGGTGACCCCAAGATTTTTTTAAAGTAATCTCTGTACTCAACATTGGGCTCAAACCTACAACCCCGAGATCAGGAGTTGCATGCTCTACCGACTGAGCCACCCAGGTACCCCACATCTATTATAATTATTAAAAGAAGGGCAGAGGAGTAAGCAGTTGCTCACAGCTGGGTGAGAGAGGAACCATAGAAGGCTTCCCAGAGAAGACGGCATGAAATACTTCAGAGTTAAACCATTGGATAAGATGGTGGAAACTGTAGCATTCCCAGCCCCTCCAGGACTCAGGTCTTGACACTACGACTCAGGGAAGGGACTAGGCTGGAATTAGGACAGCCTCCCTTCCCGGAGGCACCACAGTCCAGGCTCCTTCAGCTAGCAGTTCCTGTTTCCTCCCCACCCAGCTGCTGAGTACCCCCCTGCATGTGGCAGTCCGGACGGGGCAGGTGGAGATTGTGCAGCACTTTCTGTCCCTGGGCATGGACATCAATGCCAAAGACAGAGTGAGTGTCCAGCTTCCCTTCTGCTCAGCCACCCCAAGGGGGTGCAGGCAGCCTGAGGGCTCCCACACGCCCCCATGGGCCACACTGAGTATCACACTGGCTCTAGGAAGGGGACAGTGCCCTGCACGATGCTGTGAGGCTCAACCGCTACAAAATCATCAAATTGCTGCTTCTGCATGGGGCTGACATGATGACCAAGAACCTGGTAAGTTCATTCCTTCCCAGATTCAGTAATCAGTGTGCACGACTCCCCCAGCCTCTGTGCCAAGAACTTGGAGGAAATACAGAGCCAAGCAAGACTCAGCCTGCCCTTGGAGCACCCTCACAGTGGAAGCTCTCTTTGGGCCCCTGGAGATTTGGGGACCACCCACCTTCCCAACTCGCTCTTATGCTTGCCTCTGTCTAGAGTGCAAGTGCAGAGAAACGGACAGGAGGGGCAGTAAGAGGACTTCCCAAAGCCCCCTCCCAAAAGATGCAAGGAAGTCCTAATGTCCAGACCCAGGGAGGCCAAAATCATGGAGGGACAGAGCTAGAAGGAACCTAACTAAGCACTTGGTTGGCGCAACCACTGCTAGCACACTGTGTTGGCCTGGCGGGCCTGGAGTTCTCCGAGGGTCCTATATCCCCTAGCCCAAGCTCTTCTTTGGGGCCCAGTGCAATAGCAAAAGAGGGGGGAATGGGAAGGTCCCCCTGCCTCAAGAAAGGCTAAGGAGATAATGGGAAAGTCAGGACGATGTGGGGAGGAAGTAGATGAGGGCTTCTCAACCACAACATTATTGGTAAGTGGGGCTGGATAATTCCTTGTTGTGGGGACTGTCCTGCGTATTGGAGGCTTTTAAAGCAGCATCCCTGACCTCTGTGCACCATATGCCAGTAGTTTCCGCTCCCCTGATGGTGACAACCAAAGCCACCTCTAGACACTGCCAAGCGCGTCCAGTTGGAAGCCCTGGTTTAGATGAGGGCGCCTCCTGGTACAAACTTCTGAACAGTGACGGCATCTCCTCTTGGTTCCCCCAGGCAGGAAAGACCCCCACGGACCTGGTGCAGCTGTGGCAGGCTGACACCCGGCAGGCTCTGGAGCACCCAGAGCCAGGGGCAGAGCAGAACGGGTTGGAGGGTCCTGCTGAGAGTGTGCAGGAGACCCCCCAGCCTGTGCCAGCCCAGTGAACACCTGCCCCTGGCACCCGGGCTGTCCCTTGGGTACAGCCAGAGGATCACAGTAATGGCCCCCAGAGCTGACAACCCTGCCATTCTTCTGCATACGACCCGGGCACCCACAAGCTACCGCAATTAAAAAAAAAAAAAAAAAAAAGTCGTTTTTGCTATTTGTGATGTTTGTTTCTATTTGTGTCCGAAATGTTTAGGAATGAAGGAAAACTTTGGAGCAAGGGCAGGCTCAGGGAAGAGGGGAACTTAGAGCCTTTCGGTCCGGGCCCTGTTGCTTTTCCTACAGGGGTGTCTTCTTGCTTCTTTCCTGCCAGCCCTCCTCCCACATCCCCAGCGCGGACCAGCTTCCCCGCGCACCCATCCCGCCCCTCCCCCGCTCCGTACCGGTGACCGCCGTCCTATGGGGCTATGTGGCCAGCACAGCCTTGTCACGTGGCAGCCCGCACAGGAGGAGCCTGGCGGGGGTTCAGGGGCTCGGAGAGCTGTGTGCCTCGCTGCTGCCGCTGGTTCTCCCCAGCCGCGCCTCCCGCAGGGCCGGGCCTGCTCAGCCAATCAGCTGGCTTTGGGGCTGGGGATTGTGGGAGGAGGGCCCAGGCCCCGCTGGAGAAGCCGTTTAGGGTCGGTACCCCAGGAACCCGCCCTCTGGCCAGAGGGACGCTGGGTTGTGGCATTTCTCCAGCTGCTCCCTACAGGGAGAGAACCCATGGGGCCTAAAGTCTTGACCTCTGACCCTGGGGACGCCCAGCCCAGGCCTGCCCCAGCACCAACAGTCAGGGGGCAGCAAATTTTTAACTAGACACACTGATCATTAACAGGGTAGGAAGGAGTCCAAACTCAGCCTCGCGCAGGGGCAGAGACCAGCTGGGCTTCAGGCCTCTTGCAGAGATGCTGGGCCGTGGAGTCTGGTCTTCCCTGAGGCAGGGGTTGAGCAGGGGCTTGTCCAGGAAGGTGGGGGGCTGGGCCTCAGGAGAGGGAAGGAAGATGGACATTGCAGGCATCTACCCCCCTGTGACCACCCCCTTCACTGCCACCGCGGAGGTAGACTATGGGAAACTGGAGGAGAATCTACACAAACTGGGTGCCTTCCCCTTCCGAGGTAAGTGGGGCCTGTCCTCTGGGGGACTCGGGGGGAGATGTGGATGACCCCAATCTCCTCAGCCAGTGAGCTACTCAGAGACAGTTGGGTACCCCGGTGGTCCTTTATGGGAAAGGAGCAGGGGGCACTGGTCTGGAGTCAAGAGACAGGCCAGAAGCTCCTTGCTGCTTTGCAACCTTGACTGAATCTCACTGCCAAAGTGCCTTCTTAGAGCAGCATGATTGTGGGGATCAAACTAGATAATGGGTATAAAAGTCCTTGTCAACCAAACACTGTGCAGTTGGGAAGTCAGCTGGGGGTGTCACGTGGCAACTCAGCCAGTGGGCTCGTCCCCCTAAAAGCCGTGTTTGCCCACTCTCTTCTGGGCCAAACCTCCCTTGGCAGAATTCCTGTTCTGGATCCTCTGACTCATGTCTCTCTTTACACGTGGATCTCCCCTCTCTGAGGCCTGGGACCAGACGTCTGTGACAGTCAACACACGACACAGCCACAGGCACAATAAATGAAGGAAAGAAGAAGTGGTCAGTTCCTCCCATCCTGCCCTGCCCACCCTCATCTATCACCCATGACGAGTCCCTGAGACAGTCATCTCATTAGCCCCATTTCACAGACGGGAAGCTGGGGCTCAGAATGACACAATCACTTGCCCAAGTTCCCCAGGTCTGACTGCAGGACCATACTTGGTTTCACTCCACTGCACTAACCACTGAATCACTAGACCAGACTGTTTCAACAAATAAAGTATGGTTGGCACCAGCTTTGGGAATGGAGAGGTTCTGACTGAGGCAGGGCAAGGGGGAAGGGAGTCTAGATTTAAATCACAGCTCTGCCACTGACTTAGCTTTGAGATAATCTTTCTAAACCCCACTCTCCCCATCTGACACGGGAGTAATAAGGTGTACATCATAGGATGGCGGGGAGAAAAATCCAAGAGAGTGCAAATGAAAGCATGCTATAAATAGTTAAAGGGTGGTATACATTAGAAGGTATTGATCCAGTGATAACAATTGCTAGAATGACAGCACCATTGGCATTGTGGGAAAAGCTGCTTTATGACAGTGACTGCTGGCCTGACTGAAACCCCATCCCAGTGCTGAGGTGATGCGACCCTTCCCTGGGGCACAATGAATGCCCTGTGGATGCCCACATTGAGCAGTGACACAAACTCTAAGTAAATTTCTACTTGGGCTCAGTTCACTGGGGCCTGAAAGTCTGGACCGAGGCCTGGGTCTTTTGAAGCAAACTGAGAATCTTGAATCTTTTATTTATTAAAAAAATTTTTTTAAGTAATCTCTGCACCCAATATAGAGTTTAAACTCAGGACCCCAAGATCAAGAGTTGTATGCTCCACTGACTGAGCCAGCCAGGCACCCCTAGCTCCTTGAATCGTAAGAGGAGGGAAGACAAGACTCTTCTTCACCTTCCAGGTTCAAGGACACCCGAGTGCAAGGGGTAGGGAGGGTGAACTTTGCATCCAGTGTCTGCCTGCTACCCAGAGAATCCACGGATACCCACAGGCTCTTCTCTGGACCCTTCCCTTCCTTCTGCCCACTCACCCACTCCTGCAGAGGGCATGGAGGTGCCCAGGAGCACAGGCTGCAGTGGACTTGGCAGGCCGCGGGCCACAGGTGCCCACTAACCTGTCTCCCGTGCAACCCATACAGGCTCCTGTTTCCACCTCATCTCTCTCTTACCCACACGCCAGGGAGGCAGTGGGCTGTGTAGAAGGAGCTCAGCATCGAGAGCGAGAAGGCCTGGATAAAAGTCCTGGTGTTGCTGGTTATGGCGACCTTGGAGAAATCACTGAACCTCTCTAGTCTGATTTCCTCATTTTAGAATGGAAACTGAGCCACCGGGTTAATGCATTCCTCTCAAGGAGCTCAAAGTGGGAGGCCCTGGTACAAGGAATAGAGCCATAGGGTCCTGTCACTTCTCCCAGGACACAGCCAGAATGCCCAGGAAAGGAGCTGTGAGCAACTTTAGCTGTACAAACAATGTTTCTCTGGCCCTATCCGGGCCCCCAGGGCTGGATCTGCAGCCCAACACTCAGGGGCAGAGGAAGAAGCCATCGCATACCACATAGCCAGGGCCTCCTGTGATAAGTTAAAGGTCCTCCAAAGAGGAGGTGGGAACCTACTCTTGATGAATCAGTGAACAGTTAAGAGATTCTTCTGGAAGGTATTGCGAAAACTGTGTAGCTCTCTATTTCTACTTGTTTTTGCATTGTTAAATTTTCCTGATTATATGAATAAAGAGTATCATTCTTAAATGAAAGTTATAACTAGAGACTGGAAGGTAAGATTGTTGCAGAGGGGCCATTTGGCTCTGAACTCACTCCCACAAACAACCTCAGAGATGAACTTTGAATTGTTATTTCCACATGAGGTTAGTGGATGACCACAGAGCTACTTCAGCAGGACTAGAGAGAAGATGTTACCCATAAAACTATGAGCTTGTATCTTATTCCCTTAGTATGTAGACTGGGGATATTATGGTATATATTGAAGCCGTTACTTTGTTAAATAAAATATTTTGCTTTAAAAAAAACCCCACAGGGTAGGGGAACCTGGCTGGCTCAGTCAGAGGAGCACGTGACTCTTGATCTTGGGGTCATCAGTACACTCATGTGTACACTCCACATTGAGTGTAGAGATAACTATATAAACAAACTTTTTTTTAAAAATCACAATTTCTACAACCCTGTTTTGGTATTTCTTCACTTTATTTTTTTTTTAATTTTTTTTTCAACGTTTATTTTATTTTTGAGACAGAGAGAGACAGAGCATGAACGGGGGAGGGTCAGAGAGAGGGAGACACAGAATCTGAAACAGGCTCCAGGCTCTGAGCTGTTAGCACAGAGCCCGACGCGGGGCTCGAACTCACGGACTGTGAGATCATGACCTGAGCCGAAGTCAGCCGCTTAACCGACTGAGCCACCCAGGCGCCCTGGTATTTCTTCACTTTAAAAAAGTGAACTATACTGAGGCACCCGGATGGCTCAGTTGGCAGAGCGTCTGACTTTGGCTCAGGTCATGATCTCACGGTTCGCAGGTTCGAGCCCCGTGTCGGGCTCTGTGCTGACAGCTCAGAGCCTGGAGCCTGCTTCAGATTCTCTCTCAATCTCTCTCTCTCTCTCTCTGCCCCTCTCCCTCTCATGCTCTGCCCCTCTTTCTCAAAAAAATGAACATTCAACAAAATTTTTAAGTGAAAATTATTTTTAAGGAAAAAAAAAATTTTTTGAGTAAAAAATATGTTTTTTTAAATGTGTTATGTGCCTCTGGAAGAAAAATAGAGTGGCCCAGGCCTGTTTCTCCCCCCGAGACGCTCTGATAGAATTTCGGATTGTGGGCCAGGCTTTCCATTGTCTGTACCCACAGAGAGCCTGGCCAGGTGGTCCACCTGCTCACAATCTAAACTGTGCCCTTTAACCAGGGCACATGGAGGAGGGGGGCACATTCTGGGTTTGCAGGTGCCTCACTAAGACAAGAGGTAGCAGCCCCCATCCTGGAATGGCCCCTGAGATCTGGGATCTGGTGAATCCCTCTGTCCTGTCTGCTCTGCCTTCTCAACCCACTGCTTGTCTCCCCCCAGTTATGACCTCATGTTATTCTAGAATGAGCTCTTTCCTGGGCCCCTTTCCTTCTGGACTCTGCTTAGTTAAGGCGATTGGGGCTGCAAATGGGGATGGGATGTGCTAAGCTGCCAGTAGGGGTGGACCTTGAATGGAAGGAGACACCTGTGTCAGGCAGCCAGGGATGGATGCCAGCCTGGCCAAGGGGGTCCTTCAGCCATGGTCAGTGGCTCCTGCCTCCCCCCACCCCCGGGGAGGGGGCACAGGAATAGAGAGGGAGAGAAACCAGAGATTGGAAAATAAGAAGGCTTGAGTTGCAGAATGGGTCTTAAGCAGAAGGTGGAAGAAACTCAGAATTGGGGAAGCTGCTTTTCCACTCACCTTGGGACTAGCTGTCAGGTGGGAGACAGGACTTGGGCCTCAGGAAATGCCTACCAGGTTGGACATGAGGGATGCTGTGGCCTCTCCCCTCCCCCGCCCTGCCCCCCCAACCACCTTCCTCACAATGGGGTTCATTGCTGAGGTGGGAGGGGCATCCTAGGAAGGGTACAGCTGGGGCCCTACCTGCCAGACAGCCTCTGGGAACCTGCCCTTTCAAGTATGAACCATACCATCCAGTCTCCTCCACTCCCAGTGTGCTCTTAGCTCTGCCTGCCCAGCCTAGGGTCCTGGAGGCCTTCTTGGAGCTCATCCAGCAACCATCATGCAAGGTGGTGCTGGGGACTGCCCTCTTACTTGGAGGGGGAGGCCTCATGCTGTGGATTCAGAGGAAGAGGAGAAGGAAGGCATCCGCCGCGTCGGCACAAAATGTGCAGGAGCCACCGGAATGTCACAAAGCAAAGAATGAGAACTGGATTAAATCTCACTTTAGTCGCCTCTCCGAAGAGAAGCTGGCCTCCTGCAGCAGCACGGACGCCCCACCACCCGAGAGCAGCAGCGGAGAAGCCAGCACCACCATTCACATGGAGACTCTCACCACAAGGCAAAGAGAGGTGGGCACAACTCTGAGCCGGGAGTCCTTCACCAGCAAGCAGAGGACGTCTGGGGCCTCAGTGACCAAAGAGACCCACAAGGAGTCTGCAAAATCCTCGTCCATGGACGAACCCACATGGGCCGCTGTGGCTGCCTGCACCAAGGAGATTGACACCCTAGGACAGCAGCTGGCTAATTCCATGTTGCAGCGTGCCATAGCTTACCAGAACTCAGGCCACCTGGAGTCCAGAGACGTCAACCAGGAGGAGCTGAAGGCCCTCGAGGAGGTGGAGTTGAAGCTGAAAGGGAATTTCCTCACCCAGCGGGAAGGCACCGTAGCAGGCGCGAACCACACACACGCCATCCATGGCCACGGTCACTATGGACACCAGGGTCATCCGAACCACCAGAGCCACAGCCTGCCCAACCACAGCCACCAGACCTACCACCCCTTTGAAGCCACCTAACCACGGATGGAGACGCCCCTTTCCCCCAACAGGGCTGGCACACAATTGCAGGCCTGTTTTCTCTCCTGTGGCGAGATGGTGCCACCCAAATCCCTTCTTCCTGAAGGGCAGGCCCTGGGCCCCTTTGGCTCCGTGAGTACGGTCTGCCACAAAGGATGGCCCCTGATAGAGGGGGCGGGGGTGGAAGGAAGCGAAGCAGCTGAGACAGACTCGCAGGCCCCTGAAGACCCACCGGGAGAAGATAGAGGCAGAGCCCAGGAGCAGCTGAGAGCCCCACACTGATGCCGAACGCCTGGAACTGAGCCAATAAAGCCTTGTATACCCTACTCTGGGTCTGGGGGCTCTGTGGCCAGCCTCAGCACTGGGAAGGGATATGGGGAGAGGCTTCCTGCCCCCAAAGTCCTCTTTGTGTGGGCCTTTATGCTAGGCTGATTCAAGACTCCGTAAATCAGAAAAAAAAAAAAAAAGTCCATAAATCTTCTCCGGGTCTCAGGTTCTGGGGGTTGGGCTGTCTCCAGGGAGCTCAGCACCCACCAATCTGCTATTGCCAGAGAAGGAGGAAGCAGCCAGGTGTGGGTGGTGGGGGGATAGACAGGCTTTCAGAAGCTCGTAAGCAAACTGGGATGTGGGTCTCCTGTCCTGTTTGGGGTCCTCTTCACCCTGCCTGCTGCTTCTCAAGTCGTGTGGCATCCTGCACTGCAGTGCCCTCCCCCTGCCCCCCCTGCTTCCCCCAGCCCACTGGGACCTGGTTAGTGCCTCCCACCGCCTGCCTACAGAGCTCCTGTGCCCCATACTCTCCCTTCTTGTTTATGTTCTTAATGCCGGGGCTGCCGCTGATGCTAGTGCTACTAATTAATAGTATTAGTAGTAATTTTTTTTTCTTTTCCTATTCAGGCTTTGGTCTACACCATGCTGTGTGTTGTTACAGCAAGGCCCCATAAGGAAGGTTTTGCAGTGTCCCCGTTTTGCAGATGAGACATCTGAGGCTCAGAGGTGTCATTCGCCTGATAGGGCATAGACACTATGCGATGTTGTTGGAGGTGGGGCCCAGCTCTGCCCAACTCCAAAGCTCAGACCCCAAATCCCTTCCCTGTGCTGCCCCTTAGGCCAGTGCCCCGCTGTCCCCACACGGGTCTCCCTCACTCATGCTTATCCCTGCCCTCTTCCCCCATGTCCTGACACTCTCTGTGCCCTCCCACAAGCCTGGGACTTTCCCTGCCTCCTCTTCCTGGGTCTAAAGAAGCCGTTTCTGGGGCAAGGGATGATCTCCAGAGGGGCAGCTGTCTCTCCGGTGAAACTTGAGAGAGGTCAGCTCTACAGCACTGTCTAACCCCCCAATGACTCCTTTACATAGAAGTGTCCCATTTGCATCAATTGTGAACTTACCAGTGTTTCCCAGCCTGTTGGCCTCAACCTGTGGGAAGAAGGTCCCCCGAATCCTTGCAAAGGATGGAAAAATCTACAAACACCCTAAGTGTGGTCAATTGATTTTATGGGACATAATTGGAAGCATTTGAATATTTTTATTTTTATTTATTTTTAAGATTTTATTTAAATTTTTATTTTATTTTATTTTAGAGAGAAAGCACGAGCAGGGGAGAGGGGCAGAGAGAGAGGGAGAGAAACTCTTAGGCAGGCTCCACACTGAACCAACATGGGGCTCTATCCCGTGACCATGGGATCAAGACATGAGCCAAAATCAAGTGTCGGGATGTTCAACCGAGTGAGCCACCCAAGCACCTCTGAAGATTTTATTTTAAGTAATCTCCATACCCAGCGTGGGGCTCGAACTCACAACCCTGAGATCAAGCGTCACACGCTCCAGGTGTGTCTGGGTGGCTCCATCAGTTAAGTGTCTGACTTAGGCCCAGGTCGTGATCTCATGGTCTGTGAGCTCGAGCCCTGAATGGAGCCCCACGCCGGGCTCCACGCAGAGGAGCAGAGCCTGCTTGGAATTCTCTCACTCTCCCTGTCTCTGCCCCTTCCCCTCACTGTCTCTCAAAATACAAAAAAAAAAAAAAAAAAAGGAAGAAAGAAAGAAAGAAAAGAGTCACATGCTCCAGCAACTGAGCCAGCCAGGTGCCCAGTATTTGAATATTTTTAACATTACTAATAGTGACTTTATATAAATACTAATATACATATGCTTTAAAAAAATTTTTTTTAACGTTTATTTATTTTTGAGACAGAGAGAGACAGAGCATGAACGGGGGAGGGTCAGAGAGAGAGAGGGAGACACAGAATCTGAAACAGGCTCCAGGTTCTGAGCTGTCAGCACAGAGCCCGACGTGGGGCTTGAACTCACGAACCCCGAGATCATGACCTGAGCCGAAGTCGGACGCTTAACCGACTGAGCCACCCAGGTGCCCCATACATATGCTTTAAATTTAAAATACTTCAGAACTTCATAACAGGGGTGCCTGGCTGGCTCAGTTGGTAGAGCGCACAACTCTTGATCTCAGGGTTGTGAGTTTAAGCCCCATATTGGATGTAGAGATTACTTTAAAAAAATAAATAAGGGAGCCTGGTGGCCTCAGTCCGTAGAGCATATGACTCTTAATCTCAGATCAGGGTCATGAGTTCAAGCCCCAACATTGGGTGTGGAGCCTACTTTAAAAATACAGTAATTAAATAAAAAATAAAAAGGTAAAATACTTTATTGCAAAAATATTAATGGAAAAAAATGGGGTCTGTCATACTAGAAAATGTTGGAAGCTGCTAAATTAGACAAAAAGCAAGGTGGTGAGGTGTGGCTTCTGAAAGTGATTGTAAAAATGCATAAAATGCATGCGTTTATCCGGAAGATCTTAAATCTCTTATTAAAAGTTTATTGCATACAATTTCAGATTGGCTAATTAGGAATTTGGAATCTTTAAAGAAGTTTAAAACTGGCAAAATTCAACTAAAGTCTGCAAGTTAGTACCTTACCAGTGCTAATTCTCTGGTTCTGATCATTGTACTAAATAAATAGTAAGACCTTATCATTGGTGGAGGTTGGGTGAGGGAGGTGTGGAAATCCCCTGCACTATTTCTGCAACTTTTCTATTAATTTAAAAGTAGTTCAAAATGTCAAGGTTTGGGGCGCCTGGGTGGCGCAGTCGGTTAAGCGTCCGACTTCAGCCAGGTCACGGTCTCGCGGTCCGTGAGTTCGAGCCCCGCGTTGGGCTCTGGGCTGATGGCTCAGAGCCTGGAGCCTGTTTCCGATTCTGTGTCTCCCTCTCTCTCTGCCCCTCCCCCGTTCATGCTCTGTCTCTCTCTGTCCCAAAAATAAACGTTGAAAAAAAAATTTTTTTTTAAATGTCAAGGTTTTATTACAGTTGTGCCATGGGGAAAATGGCCACTAACCCACCAACTCAAGTATATTATCTTGGTAAGGAGATATGCATCCCCAGCCCCAAACACTCACTCCTCTTCCCAGGCCGCTCTGGCTCCCTGGAGTGGCCAGCCTGACCATGGGGCCGTGAGAGAGTAGCCTCTGTGATGAGCCCCTTTGTCTTGCAGCTGGAGGGGACGGGAGAGGTTCCTGAGTGCGGCCTCCCCTCCACACCAGCCATCCTCCTCCACCTCAGATGGAAAGCTGCCGCCCTTCTCATTTAAGGCTTGTGCACTTTCTCCTGACTCCATAGTAATTACAGCTAACACGGCCGGCAGGCCGGGTTCTCATCCAAGCACTTTATACATAGTATCTCATTTGAGCCTCACAACAATGCTTTAAGGAGGCACTAATACTCTCCCCATTTTTCATGTGAGGAAGCTGAGGTTTGGTTAAGCCGCGTGCCCAAGATCTCATAGCTAGCTGATCAGGGGCTGCACTGAGAGCTACACCCAGGTTCCTCTGAGTTCAGAACCACTCCCTGTCTTCACTCCCCGACCCATCCGGGACCCTCGCCCTTCCACTCCTCCAGTCCCCTTGCTGCACCAGCAGAGAGTGGCACATCGGGCCTGAAACTGGGCATCCCTCCAAGGAGAAGGAGGGGGCTCTCGGTGGCATCAGTTCACAGATTTCAGGGCGCTTTCTCTTACCTTTTCTTGTTCGGGCCTTTAACGTAGCCGTATAAGGTAGGATCAAAATGATTTGATTACCATCCCAGAGAAAAGGAAACAGGGACTCAGAGACCTGATACGACTAACTTCCTCAAAAGCCAGAGGGGAGTTGGGTCCAGTGCGTCCCTGACTCTGTGATACTCCCTCTTCCCTAGCCTGGCCTGGCCTCCTCCTCGGGAGTCAGGCCTGGGTCAGATGCTCCTTTACAGGAGACAAGGAAAAGGCCACCGGGAGTCTTGAGCACAGGGGCCTGCTTCCTGTCTGAGAGTGCAAGACCCAGCGGTCTTAACTGCTCAGGGGCCCGTGGCACGGGCCGCCAGAACGAAGCGGGACTTGGGAGTGAGTGGACATGGCTGAAGAAGCAGCTGGAGTAAGAACCGGGCTGGGCGGTGGGGGCAAGGTGGGGGCAAGCGGGCAGGGCTGGGGAGGGAGGGAGATGTCTTTGGCATTTGCACAGAGGGACTGGTGAAAGCCTGACCTCAGAATCCTAGTCAGAGGGTGCTGGCCCAGTCCTCTCCAGGGTTGGCAACTCAAGAGTGGGGGTGACCCACTGGGAAAGCACTAACACCGTTTGTACCGAGACAGAAGGAGGCTCCTGGCCTGACACGGAGAAATGGATCCTGAGGAGGCAGCACAACAGAAGCCGAAAACTATTTGCCTCACGGTGCTCCCTACAATATCACCAAGGCAAAAAGCTGGCAGGGGGTGGGATTGCTAAGTATCCAGTGAGCCATTTTGGCAGTCCACTGAGTGGAATCCAATGGTGTAGCGAACAGCATGGAAAAAGGTTTGTGGTGAAAAGTTGACTCTGCATCACATTGTGTCCCTTAAGGATGACTCACGGGAACAGTCTCTCTTGGTCCCGATGCCAGGAAACTGTGTGTTTCCCCCCCCCCCCCCCCCCACCCGGGCAGCTGCTTTGCTTTTATCTGGAGTTCTGCATATCTGTCAGCTGACCACATTTCCCTTTTAGCTCGGACTGTCAGGAAGCTCCAAATCAAAATGATGGCCCATCTTCCTCAACGGTGCAGCGGGGATTTTGTTTTGTAGATCGGTATCGCCTCCAGCTTTCTTTTCATTCCTTTCTCCCAAGCAGTCTCCTGTTTATTAATAGTCTCGCCGTGCCGTTTGCTGTATTTGTCATCTATTTAAGAACGGTGTTTTGAGGATGGACTGGAGTAGAGAGGAGGAAGAAGAGGGAGAGAGAGTTAAATGAAAAAGCGGAGAGGAGGATGGTTTTACTAACCTTCCCTTCGGATTCAGTCAAACAGCATCAAATCT